ATTTTTTTACGGGATTGAAAATTTAATACAATATTATAAGATTTGATAATAAAAAATGTAAAATATTTTAACATCCTTACTCTAATTTAGATGTTTAAGCTCTTTTGACATATCCTCTTTAAAAAAATGACAAAATTTTAATATTGATATCATAATTAACTATATATGTTAAGGTCCGCAAATGTTGTATAGCTATTATTTCAGCTAACTTAAAATTCTGTTAAAAGTTTATGTTAAACGTTACGTTAACACAGATCTAGGACAGAAGAATATGTGTTAAGCTCACGATTAAAGCTCCATCAAGTCAAGCTTCGTTCAAATACTTATAACTGTCGTCATTCTATTCTAGATTTTTATAAATAATATAAGACTTTATAAGACCATAATGAAATAAAAGCTCAATACTGAGACGCACACGTCCACTGGCTAAAAATATCTGCAGATGCGAAAACCGAATTAAGTAGATTATGAGGGATCATGGTCTCATGTAATCCTTCAAACAAAAGAAATTTTCCAATGACTTGGAGCACTTTATTTAAAAAGAATTAGTTAGCTTTGTGATACCTGATACCATTTCTATAGGTTTGTTTACTCTAAAAATGGTAATTTATCAACATTAAGAGAAGCGTAAAAGAAACAAAATTTAAATTTTCTAAGTGGATTATGAAACTAAGATACCCTCTTGGCGCCCAACCGGCACTATTGCCTCCGTACACGGGATGTACGAAAAATGCGAAGGCATGAAAAGTTGGAGCTTTTATGCCTCGGAATCAGAGATGCTCTACAAACGGAACGATATTATTCCATTCCGCTAACGTGAAGAATTAACTTAACTAAATAAAATCTTTACCATTGAAACCGAACAAAACTTATCGTTTAATTTATCCTAAAATGACTGCTTGCTATGATTTAACAGTACACTTCAATTTTAACACTTAACATTGTCTGTTAATGATTTAACATTAAGGAGAGCATTTCTGTTCGGGTAAAAACGAAAAGAAATTTATTTGATACCTGCGTTAACGTTAATATTTGCAAATGTTTCAACCGAACGATTGAAATTTTTCGACTAACGTGTAATTTATCGTTACAATGCAGCCTTGCTCGAGACTTAAAGCTATATCAAACAAATTGGCCACCTGAAACTTGAGGCTATAAATATATTAAAAATGTGGAAGTTACTTGCTAAGAAAAATGTGTACTGCATTTCTCTCCCCTGCATTGGCATTTGTTTAAGGTTTATAAAAATAGCTATATTGCAGTATTGCAGTTCATTTAGGCCAAAAAATGCGTCATGGAAAGTGTGAATAAATTTCTGTACGTTAAAAGCTTTGAACCAAAATCCAAAAATTAAGTTAAATTTTTTAATTGCGATCACCCCTCGTCAGGGAATGTAAACTCCTGCGAATTTATTTCTGATATGAAAGTCAAAAGCTTCTCATAAAAAAGCCATTAGTCTTTCGAAGGCGGCTTAGTATAAATTTTAGGCCCGTCCATTTGTTGGAAAAGCATCAAGGCGCAATACCACAATTTGGAGAAGGAGCCGAAAATCGCTTCAGCGGTTACAATGCACCAGTTATACATATATATAAGTCTTAAACGACTAGTATAATCAGTAAGAATTAGGGGAGCATTCTACAGGAAATATTAAATACTTTTTTATTGTTTTATTATACACAATATTTGAAAAAAGCCCTCTTTCGAAAAAAAAAAATTTCTGGAATAGCTTTGATTAAGAAGCTGCCTCCAAACTCCAAGAGAGAAAAACATTTCGAAAGTGTGAACTGTCCTTTATTCCAACTGAACTTATTTCAAAAAGTACAGTATATATATGTATATATTATTATATTAAAGTACAAACGGCAGATGAATCTTCCTTGGTCATCCACTTTTAATATGGTATTCTTAAGAGAGAAATCTTTTGAATGAAAAGTTATCCAAATTGAAAACAGTAAAAGTTCATACTCAAAGCTATTTAGGAAAATGATTTTCAAGAGTAAGCGCAGCACAACACTGAAAGATGATTTCAAGTTTCGATTGGTTTTTAGATTTTACTCGGTTTTGTGTTTGTTAACAGGAGGTAGGATACGAACATCACTCTATACCAAAGTCGCATATTCACGTGTATACTTTTAAGCGTATATATGTATGCAAATAAAAGTATAATTTTTTTTGCACAACAGCTTTGCAAGTAAGGCAAACCGACTGCCAACTATTTAGTATTCAACGCGGTTGGAAGATTCCCACGGCATGATGGATCTGCTGCGTGGTAGCAACATTACGCAATCTAGAAACTGGCATATAAACGACCAGGATTTTTGCGCTTACGAGCATAAACAAAGAATTTGAAAAGAAAAAAAATGTGAAGAAAGGAAAGGGGAATAAAATGAAATGAAAATAAAATTGTAAGAAATTATGGAAAAAAGTACATTTTCACGTGTGTGCGGTGCGTTAAGGGTGAAAGAAATGAAAGTAGGTAAAGAAAACTGTTTAAGGTAGGTGGTACTTAAGCAGAGCGGATATGAAGAATGCACTGATATGCAGGCTTAAGTATATGTTAGCGAGATAGCAGCAGGCGATACATTTTTTCATAATTTTCTTGTTCTTATTTGAGCGTTTTCGTTTTTTTTATTTTTTGTTTCTTTTGCGGTTTCTTAAATGAGGACACTTATGGTAATGCTGAAAAGAGATTTTGACTCAACTTTACATAACTTTTTCACTTTATTATGGGCTTACATAATATATTCGTCATTTTAACGGAGTGAGCAAGTGCTCCACTATTTGAATAAATTTATGCAGCTACGCTGAAACGGTGCATAAGATTTGTTATCAAAAACTTTTCCCTTAATTTTTAGAATGATTGAGCTCGGGCAAAGATTAAATTTTCGTGTAGCTTATAAATAAAATTAAAGAATGTATATAATATATATAATAGATATATTTTTTTACATTGTAATAATTTCAGCAACAAGTTGAACCGAAGAAGACATTGACGTTTCCACACACACTTATCCGAATTGGTCCCGAACTTAGAATTTGACCTGCAGGTTACCAATGATTGTATGTTTCATTAGGCTACTAATATTCACCTGGGAGTGGCTAGAAACAAAATTTTTTCCTTTCGTGTAACGTGTAGGATTTGGAACATTGCAAATATACAACAATGAAAAAATTTAAATTTTAAATATCACGATTTGAGAACATGCAAGCGGAAAGTTCGATGCCCCTTCTAGCTGTTTCTTGTTTTCATAAGACCAAGACTTCAATTACCTTCGTCCAGGAATTACAATGGACAAACAAAGGCGGGACGAGTAAGTTTGAGTGATAATTACTACAGCGGCTTCATAAAGGATCGAACATATTTAGTTGGATTTGTGTTTGAAGAGTGACTCCAACCATAACCATAGTTCGCAACAAAGCGGAAATTTCAAAAAATTACGTCCATGCTCCGACCAAAGAGAAAGCCTCTGTGACTAAGGATACGTTCTATGAGCGCCTAAAATGCCCATGAAAGGGTGAAAAATTACGGTAGGCGACTTTAACACCTGGGTGGGCAAAGAAGGTATTTTTGGCTCAACAATCAGGAAATTCAACTTCCAAATGGAAGCAACCAAATGTATTTAGACTGGTCGACTTCGCCGGCATCTCAAATATAGTTGTCTTTAGTTGTAGATTGCAGCACAAGAAAATTTACTAAACTGCATCGCTGTCTCTAGGTCGAAAAATTCACAATCATTTCGACTATGTTGTCATTGACCGACGACTTGTATTTAGTGTTTTTGATGTGCGCACGTTTGAAAGACCTAACATCGAAATATCTTTGCAGCACCTAGCTCTTTGTAACAAAGAACGTCTGTCAACAACCACATAAAAGGTTCGATGACCAAAAAGTACCAATCACTACAGGCACTCGACTTGCGCACCTGGCATCTAAAAGCACTCATCAGCAACTCGATTGAAGTGAGCTGTAGAACGGCATATCGAGCTTACGATGTATCGTCACTGCGGAAGCAATTGGTTTTCAACATTTCTAGGAAAATGCGACTTATCTCGCATACCGAGAAGAGCGAAAAAGAGGTCGAAATAAGTCTGGTCAGAATGAAAAGCTTGAGAATCTGGCCGATAAGGGTAATGGTGGAAAATATTTGGAACAGATTCGGTGACTCACAGAAGAAACCAAGGACTCATAATATTAAATTAATTAACCTAAACAAAATTGAACTTAAATTATTATAAATTAAATAAATTTGATTAAATTATATTAAATTCAATAACCTAAAACGAAATTAAATTCAATTGAATTAAATAAATTTAAATTAAACTGAATTAATTTAAATAATATTAAATTAAATTATATTAAATAAAGTAAAATTAAATTAAATAAAAAAATTGGGTGGAAAAAAATTACATTAAAAAAACACAATATTTTTGGAAAAAATTATTTGAAATTTAATAAAATAAAAATAGAGTAAAATAAAATGGTATGAAACAAAATAAAACTAAATAGAGAAAATTAAATTAAATTGAACAATCCGAATTGAAATTAAATTAATAGAAAACACAATGAAATAGAAAAAAAATATTAAATAAAAAATGGAAAATTTGGAAACAACTGAATAACCTTTAAACATTAATTATTAACAATATATATTAAATAAATTGCTTTTAAATTTTAATAAAATAATATAATTTAAATAAAATAACATAAAGTTATGCAAGCTAAATACTTTAATTTAATTTTTTATAGAAATTAATAAAATATATTAAAACAAAATACAATAAATATTTAAATAATATAAAAATAAATAAATAAAATAGCAATCAAGGTTATTGAGAATAGAGCAATTCACAGCGAATTTACAATCTGATGAGCTAAAAACAATTCCCACCAATGATTCACCCAAATTAATGTGTTTTTCCAAGAAACCCCAATATTTCTTTCATTTCCAACACTAGTTTTTCACATTCGTTCGAAATACCATATTTTTTGCTGCACTTACCTCGATTTGAAATTGCTGCACTCACGCCATTCCACAGCAGGCTGGCATGCAGGATACAAGCAAGGCTAATTACAATTAAAATGGGGCAATTCATTTTGAATTGTGCAGCGTAGGAGCGTCGAAGTAAAGCCGACGTTGGTGTAGATGACGGTGATGGCAATGCAGATGAGTTGGAAGTGTTGCCCGAAGGGGAGAACGCAGATGACTCCAACAAAGAGGGGTAAACTAGTTGTGGAGCAGTCAGAAGCGCAACTTCAGTGGACAACTGTCGATGTGCAATGAGACGGCGTATGTTTGTTTTGGTAGCTTGAGTCAGTGTCTGTTGCGTAACGGTGGATTTGGTGGCGCTATTGTTGTTGCTGATCTTGTTGTTGCTTACAGTAGTGGCGGTGGCAGTGGCGGTGGCTTTACTTTGTTTAATTGTGCTCGTAACGTTGGCAGCATATGTTTGTGCGCCGCAACGTATGCTATGCGAAATTATGCGCATTGTTGTTGCTAAAATGGGCACACTTGGGATGTGACTGGTGAAATGTTGCTTTTGTTTCGTTACGTAGCAGCGTTTTTTCGTTTAATTATTTGCTGTTCCCGGTGTTTTATTGTAGTGTTTTTTTTTTGCGTTTTTTCCGTACTTTCTTTCCCTTTTCACACTTTTCACCGACAATTATTTACTCGCTTTGTATTGCCACACTTCCGCAATACCGCTGCCGGCTGCCTTTATGCGATGATGAATAAAAAAGCAAAAATTAAGAAAAAAAAACCTGCTTAAGTCTTAGCTAAGTGGCTTTGTTATTTAATTTACGCTTTTATAATGCTGTTGTTTAACTTTTCTACGCTTTATGCGCTTTTAAGTGCGTTCAAAAGCCAATTTTTAACGAATTTCCTGTCTTTTATATTTTTTTTTTTTTACTTTTTTCAATTAAGTTTCTCTTTTAAGCGAAAATAGCAAATTGCCTTTTGTTCCGCTTTCACTTCTTTAATTCTCTTTAAGCGTCTTTGTTCCGCTAAAGTTTATTGTTTTTGTGAACTCGTTTTATACACGTGAAACACACACATATGCAGCTGATAATCATCAACTTATTTATGCGGTTATGCATTTGTTAATTTGCCACCGCTATTAATCAATTACTTATTTATTTTTATGTTTACTTATCACAAATAAATAAAAAATTTATGTTTGTTTATATGTATGTATGTACATGTGTCAGTATTAAATTACACATTAAGTATGCGTTGAAATTTGCACTTTTCAACAACAAATGCGTCCAGCGATAATTTATTGCACAATGATTTTTAGCATTGCCGCATATGTTTGTAAATATTTGCACTGTCAACGCACGAAATATTTCCTATTTATGCAAATTAAATTTTTAACACGTTCACACGCCACAAGCTGGCATATATCCACTTACGTGCATGTATGCATGTATGTTTGCCCAGGTGTATTTGCAGGTGGGCAAAGTTTCAGCTGTTGGCAGCGGATTTCAGGCGATATTCCAGAGGATCTCTGACAAGCTTTGATTTATTGCAATTGTTTGCGTTGGTGCACCGCGCCACTGTCGGGTGTGTTTAACGAGGATTGATGCTGCAGCCTGAAAATAAATTAAAAAGCAAGAAGCAAAAAAGTTAAATTATTATTATTGGTCAATGAATAATTTAAAAATGTATATGAAATAGTTGCTTATGTACTGTATAATGTAGTTATGTGAAAAAAAAATTGTTGAATTTCATATATGATTAGAAACGGAAATATGACGCAAATCGGATATATTGCATAATAACTAGTTGTTTATGCAGTGAAATTAAAATAATTAATGCATAAATCTAATTTGAATTAAATTGGATTTTTTACCACATTGAATATTATTATAAAATATTTTGTATACATACATACATAGATATATGTCATACATATTACTTTTAGCAAATTATTTAATATGTATTTTACACGAAGTGCTATGTATGTATATATATACATATTGGAATAATTAAAATTTGGTTGGTTTTAATTAAAAATAAATTAATAATTTAAAAAGGATTTTATAAGTAACTTGGCAGCAATTTCATCAGCGTAGCTTAATATTTTTTATATTATCGGAAATTTTTGAAGCTTAAAGCACAACACCTCTGAGCTTAAATAAATAACTCCATACTAGCGCCGTTTCTTAGTAACTTTTGAACAATAAATACCATAAAAACGGTTTTTTCAACCACTCGACTGCGGCAACACCTATCATGAGTTAATAAAATATATGGTTGTCAAATATCTCCCTTCTTCATTCAACGCTTCATAAAAAGTGTTACAGTGATCGGATTTAGTTAAAATATGCGCCGTTTTGTTCGATGATATGTTTCGATCTAGACGGCAACTTCATCAACTTCCTCGTAGAAGCCCCCCTCCTTATTTGTGAAGAATTCGGACAGCCACTTTTCACAAGCCTCTTTTGAGTTCAACTTCACACCACCAAGGGCATTCGCCATGGACAGGAACAGGTGGTAATCACTTGGCGGTATGTCCGAGCTATATGGTGGATGCGATAAAACCTCCCATTCGAGCTCCAGTAGCTTCTGACGAGTCATAAACGAAGTGTGTGGTCTGGCGTTGTCCTGATGGATCACTACACCCTTCCTGTTGGCCAATTCTGGACGCTTCTGGCCAATCGCCTGCTTCAAGCGGTCCAGTTGTTCGCAGTAGATGGTAGAATTAAGCGTCTGGCCATATGGGAGCAGCTCATAGTGGATGATTCCCTTCCAATCCCACCAAACACACAGCAAAACGTTCCTGGCCGTCAATCCCGGCTTGGCCACTGTTTGGGACGATTCACCGGCCTTCGACCACGACTGTTTTCGCTTGATATTGTCGTATGTGATCCATTTTTCATCGCCAGTCACCATCCGCTTCAAGAATGCGTCGAGTTCGTTCCGTTTCAACAGCATATCGCAGGCGTTGATTCGGTCCAGAAGGATTTTTTGCGTCAAATTATGTGGCATCCAAACATCAAACTTTTTTTTTGTATCCAGCCTTCTGCAGATGGTTCAAAATGGTTTAGTGACTAACTCCCATCTCCTGGGCGATGTCACGAGATGCTATATGCCGGTCTAAGCTGATGTATTCCATGATTTGATCGGTATTTGTCGTCACAGGTCTTCCGCCGGCTGGCTTATCCATGGTGTCGTTTTCACCGGCTCTGAATCGTCGAAACCATACCTCCGCGGTTCGAAGTCATAGAGACCATCCCCCAAAACACCATTAATCTCACGGAACGTTTCTCTAGCGGATTTGCATTTAACGAAGGAAAACTTTAAAATAGCGAACTCCATGTTTATACGTCTATAACTGTTGAACGCAATATCCAAACTAATCATGCATAGCGTTGTTTTGTAGGTTATGTCAAGACCTTTCAAATTATGTATAGTGTTGCTAGATACGAGCTCTGTAGCGCTTTGTACATGGCCGCGAAATTCAAAAGACAAAAAAGCGGAAGGGAGATATTTGACAACCTAATATATAGCCCATATTTTGTCCATTTTATTTCATGAAAATTAATAAATCAGAGCTTTTGCCAAAAAATATGAAAATAATTATTTTAAGAAATGTCATAGACTAAAATAATAAAGAACGGAAAAATCATTGGTTGATTGTAAGAGTGAGTTTGGGATTCTGACTGCATGCTCAAGTATCCCAAATCTAGGCTTGCGAACAGTCCGCTCGAATTTATTAGGTAGCAGCTGCGAGCATCATTAGAGATGTGACGTCTCAATCGACTTAAGGCCGGACACTCGCGTTTCTTCTTCTTGTTTGTATACTCTACATTCAGCTGATTCGACTTAACCTTCAATACACTCAATATCGCCAGATATACTACATATGAACAATCTGCACAGCTACATTCCTATTTTGTCTCTAGTGTGAAGAATATTAATGTACTGCTGCTGCGCAATACACCCATAAAGACGATAAACACTCTTTTGCTGAATGCAATGTGATATATCTGTTATCCACGCTGATACACAATAATTTAGTGGTACGTTGGAAATGTTGCAATACCTAAAGAGTTCCTCTATGATGCACTGCTTTAAACAACATTCGAAGGCACTATAAGATCTGAGGCAGTCACCAGCGTAAGCCAGCTCTTGAGTTTGTCCATTGCCTTCTGCATCCATGTGACCTGAGAGCCAAGCGATTTTCGGCCGAGCTCCTCCTCAAATTTTTCGTTTTGCGTCTTGATATTTTCCAACAAATGGAGGGACCTACATTTTATACTTAAGCCGCCTTCAAATGGCTGATGGTTTTTTATGAGAACCTTTTGCTATTGAGTTATCTCTTATAATACGAGTGCACTAGGCTGTCTCGCTCGAAATTCAAGGGCGATATCTGACAGCTACAATAAACGCTGAGATATCGAGCAAACAGCTCAAGTTTACAGGCTGGGCTCTGTATATCTCAGCATATGATTCCCAAGTGAACATGAAAAGCGAGTGTAATCTACAGTTTTCTGTGAACAACCAGGCATTAAAAAGTCAACCCACTAGAATGTCTTTCATGCGGAGTTCTTTGTAATAAAATTTACGCGAAGTAATGACAACAGATAGATGTAACATCCTCTTCCTATGGAGCCTACCAACCTCAATTTAACCCCCGACAAGATTCTCGGTATAACAGCAAGCACATAGCTTACCCTGCTACAGTAGCCGACATTCAAAGCATTAAGAGACTATATGCCATAAAGGGCCCGTAATTAGGTAGGCCTTTAAGTAGCTAAACTCTTTTATAATGGTTAACAGCATTAAAAACTGTTAAAGAATTTATTTCTTTTATGACTACAAATGCTTCAAATTTTATGCCGAATTCACTCCGTAAGCTTCCTTCATTACTTTTTTTTAAACATAAATACATTTTCGTATAAATTAATAGCATTTTGAGAAACAAAAATTTCGCAAGCATTAAAAATACTCCATCGCGGGCAATTAGCCGGTATTAAATTATCAAACTTTATACGCCAGTTTCCAATTTGTGCTTGTCGTACATATATACATGCATACATCATTGTGTGTAGCGCATTAAAAAGCGAATAATTGCTTTCCAGCGTAAGGACATTGAAAATCGCTTTGCTACACACACCTTAAGCTCTGCAAGACAAACTTATATATATATAGCTATATGGAGAANTTTTTTTTTTTTTTGTTTTGCAAAAGTGAAATGACCAAAATTGCGGTATACAGTGTGTGTAAGCAAGACATTAGAACCTAATTTATGTGCAGTTAAGCAAGTTGCATGTGGCAAACACACGGGATAACTGCCGAAAGGCACGCGCTCTCATCGCCGCTCGATGGCGAGAAAAAATGAAGTTATAAATTTAGATTAACCGCAAAAGTTGTCGAGTGACGATGAAAATTACAAAGCTGAAAAATAAACAAAAAAAAAACTCAACAGATATGAAAAAGCAGCTACAGCTTCAACTTTGTTGGCAGAGGGCGAAAATGAGCGCTGAGTGTAGGAGTGTGCATAGATATGTAGCTAAGTATGTGCATTGCATGAGCCTTGCCTTTGGACAGTCAATGGCAACAAGCTATCACACATCGTTACCAAAGTCGTCGCCGTCATCGTTGGATGTTAATAATTATCGTTTGCATTATGACCACATATAAAAATATATTCTCATAGTACGATTACATACATATATATATAACATGAGACAAGGACTGACATGCTAATAGCGCCAATTTCTACTGGCTATGAGATTAACATTGTATGAGTTGAGGGATTTTACTCTAATTTTTCCTCTTCTCCAAACGTGCCACAACTGGCTGAATTCATAACCTAGAGGTACAATAAAATGCCTTAGCACTTTTTCCTACCCTATCACATATGCACGTATATACATTCAAATAGTATTATAACCCAGCGCTGCTCGTAAGCTGGGGTATAATAAGTATGATAAGCACAAAGCTCAGGCCAAGCATGACAAACGAACACTAAATTTCAAAGCAAAGGCAGCATATTTCACTGCATTGCCCAGATGTATAATGGAGATGGAGCTGGCTCTGACTGATGTCGCCGATAGCACTAGCACATCACCAACATAAGACCTTGAGTTTACTAAATACTTATATCAAAAATTATTATATAACATGGCCGCAAAAACAAATTAAGACCTTTTCTTTTGCACGCGACCTGCAAAAGAACGCCCAACTGGCTCATTTTCTACTGACTCATGATTTGCATTTACTTTACAACACTGATAATAAGAGACTCAATTTCGCTGCATTTTGATATGCTACTTAATTTTGAAGTTTGACTGAAATTTCCCAACAGTTGACGATTTGCTAGAATTTCCCTTAGGGGTTTTCAATTGCCCATTCACAATAGTAGTTATTTTTTACTTTGCAATACCAATAGTCAACCAATATCAACTCAAACTGGTAAAGTAACTCAAGTTTTTTATTTTGTGTTGTTGTTTTCCAATTTATTCGATAACCTATTTAGCACTCTCTTGCAGGTCGCGTACAAGAGGGAAGGTCTATAGCAATTGGTTTAAATATTTAAAAAAAATTCCGGAAGTGGATTGAAAAATGATTATGATTATCTCAA